ACAGAGGGCAATCTGCATAGCAGGTAGCGTTAACACCTCCCTGTCTATAGAGCGGCGTAAAGCCATCCTTTTCAAAATCGAGCCTAAATTGGCCAACCTCGCCCTCACGGAAGCGGGCAAAGATGCTCAGGGCCTGTTATTCGGAGACTCCTTTATCAAGAATTTGGGGCGCTTCGTAGGTGCTTTCACAGCCCTAGACAAGGCCCAGTCCTCCATGAAGAGGGTGTTTCAGGGACGGGTCTCTACCAGGGCCGGCAGATTCAGGGGCCGTCTGTCCGGCCGGTCAAATTTCAACTCCCGAGGATCGGGACAAGGCTCTTATAATCAGAGACCGCCTTATCAAGACACAAGGCACCAGTCTCCCTTCTTCCCGTCTCGTGGAAGACCATGGAGCTCCAGAAGCTTCAGAGGGAACCCCGGTTCCAGACACCCTTACGGTAAGACTACACCTACCTCATGTTTTTTCCAATACCTGTGTAGGGGGCAGACTCCGTAATTTTTTCCATGCCTGGTTAGATATCACCTCAGATACCTGGGTTCTGGCCACTGTGAGGGGGTTTCACATAGAATTGGTAGACACCCCGTATCGTATTCCCCCCCTCACCCTATGGTACTTTCAAAGGCAAACCGTGCCTTAATAGACGAGGAGCTATTGTCACTCCACACGAAGGGAGCAATAGAACGAGCTCCGCTGCCCCATTCTGGTGTCCTCAGCAACATCTTCCTTGTGGAAAAGAAAGGCGGCCAGATGCGCCCCGTTATAAACCTTCGGACCCTAAACTCCATAGTGCGCTACCGCCACTTCAAAATGGAGGGCATCCACCTCCTTCGAGACTTACTCCTACGCAGAGACTGGATGGCGAAATTAGACCTCAAAGATGCTTATCTGACAGTCCCGGTGACCGAGTCATCCAGGGACCTACTACGATTCCTTTGGAAAGGCAAGACGTGGCGATTCACATGCCTCCCTTTCGGACTCTCATCAGCTCCGTGGTGCTTCACCAAATTGATGCGACCGGCCATGGCGTGGCTGCGCAGTCGCGGGGTAAGACTGATAGTCTATCTGGATGATATCCTCCTCATGGCACAAGATCGGGGGGTCCTCCTAGAACACCTTCAATGGACAATGGATCTAATTGTGTCGGCTGGGCTTCCTGCTCAACGAGGAAAAATCCTGCCTATCCCCTTCCCGACACATGGAGTTCCTAGGGTTCACGGTAGACTCAGAAGCGGAGTCTCTCAGCCTCCCTCCGGCCAAAATATGCTCAATCCGCAAGGAACTGCGACGAGCCCTGACGCACCACCAGCTGTCGTTACGACACCTGGCACAACTCATTGGACTACTGGCCTCCTCCACCCAGGCAGTGTTCCCAGCTCCGCTCCATTATCGGGCCCTCCAGCACCTGAAGATAGCACACCTTCGCAAAGGGGCCTCGTACGCAGATTTGGTCTCCCTGGACTCGGAATCCCGAGACGAACTGACCTGGTGGATCCACAACCTATCCGCCTGGAATGGCAAGGCCATCTTCGGCTCTCAACCGGAGTTCACGGTGGACTCGGACGCAAGTCTCCACGGCTGGGGCGCACACTGCAACGGTGTGACCACCGGGGGTCGCTGGACAGAAGCCGAGTCCCGACTCCACATCAATGCCCTGGGACTACTAGCCGGTTCCTTTGCGATCCGGAGCTTTGCGAACGGCATGGCCAGTGCATGCATCAGGCTACGTATGGACAACATTTCAGCGGTTCGCTATGTCAACCACCTGGGCGGCACATGCTCAGCGATACTGGCCTGTTTAGCGAAAGATTTCTGGAACTATTGCTTTGCCAGGAACCTGATGGTCCAGGCGGAATACCTCCCCGGCCTTCACAATACTCATGCGGATTGGAGCTCACGCTATCTATCAGACAGCAGCAATTGGAAATTGGATACAGAGGTGTTCTCCACTATCTCGTCCCTCTGGGGGCCCTTCACCATCGACCTCTTCGCTTCCAGGCTCAACGCCCAACTACCCCGGTTCTACAGCTGGCGTCCAGACCCGGCCGCGGAAGCAGTGGATGCCTTCCTACAAGAATGGTCCGGCTCACACCTTTACGCTTTCCCTCCATTTGCCATGCTTCCCCGAGTGCTACTCCAAGTACGACACCAGATGGCGGATTTGGTCCTACTAACCCCATTCTGGGGTACCCAGTCGTGGTCCCCACAACTCCTGGAACTGGCAATAGACGTTCCCGCACTCCTGCCGTCCAACCAGGACCTTCTGCTGAACCTGTTGGGCCAACAACATCCACTCCTACTGGACGGATCGTTACGACTACTCGCATAGAGGATTTCAGGGGTCCTTGGGAAGTCCAAGGAGTTTCGGACACAACTCGACGCCTCCTGGCTGACGCATGGGCTCCCGGCACTAGACGCTCATACGCGACCGCTTGGAGAGCTTGGACTGGTTGGTGCTTGGCTAGGGACCTGGATCCCGTGGCGGCTCATGTGACGGCGATACTCCAGTTCCTCACATCATTATTTGAAGCGGGCCGAGCATAACGAACGATTAACCTATACAGATCGGCCATCTCCTCAGCTCATCAGGGTTTCAACGGCTGCCCAACGGGCCAACATCCCTTGGTGTGCCGTTTACTCAAGGGTTCACGCCTCTCGCGTCCCCCAGACCTCGATACACAGCCACATGGGACGTATCCTGCGTCCTATCACTGTTTTCCTCCTGGCCGACCAACTCGGACCTCACCCTGCAACAACTCTCTGCCAAGTTGGTATCACTATTCTGCCTCATTTCGTGCAAACGAGTCTCAGAGGTACGTGCCCTGGACCATGATGCGAGATCCTTCACCCCGGATGGGGTGACATTCAATATCTCCAGAAGGACTAAGACGGCCATACGTTCAGTCTCGTACCCGAGTTTCCCAACTACCCCTAAGTTGTGCCCAGTGACCTGTTTGAGAGAATACGAACTTCGGACGAAGGCCCATCGGTCGGCTTCAACTCCTCAACTTTTCCTCTCAATCCGTCAACCCTTCGCCCCAGTATCCAGCACGACTCTGGCTCGTTGGGTGAAGTGGGTCATGTCACAGGTGTCACGGTTCTCACCTGATAGACAGACGGCAAGACGTGGTCGCTCTTGGAGTTCCCAACAGGGGACTTGAACCGGGGATCTTCTCAGTCCTGGTCCTGCTTTCTACCTCTGAGCCACAGCAGCTATTTACAGTGAGGACTGATTCCAGTCCTGTTCATCCTGACATGGCTACTACTCTGGGGGCTGCACCTTGACTTGGCTGTGTTTCACCTGACTCTGATCAGTCATCAGCAGGGTATATAAACCCAGCCTCGCCCTGTGCTCAGTGTCAAGTCTTTGATCCTGTTTGTTCTAGTGTTCCTGTTTCATCGCTTCGCATTATTGACCCCGGCTTCCTGACTCGTTTATTCTGACTTCTGGCATCCCTTGACTTCGGCTACTCCTCGTTGTTCCTGTCCTCTGGCATCCTTTGACCTCGGCTATCCCTCGACCATCCTGCTGGTTCAGTCCTTGCCTGTCCTGCGTATTGGTACTGCATCCTGCACAGCCCCCGTGCACAGACCCACAGGCCAGGTGAATTCTTACCTGACCACCTCGGCCTGTGGCTATCTGCAAGGGTGAGCATCATATCTGCGCTACAGACTCCCAACTCAGGTAAGACCCTGACATAAGACTTGACCATTATGGAGTCCGCAGAGATGTGCTCACCCTCGACCCAGCGTGTGTCCAGCCTGGCCCAGACTGTTTCGGAGCTGCAGCAAGAAATTTTATTCCTTAAAGGCGCAGTACATCCAGCCCCGGAACCAGCTTTTCCTGAACCGTTTGTCATCATGCCCGACCGATTTGATGGTAGCCGCACATCCTTTCAGTCTTTCAAGATGGATTGTGAGGTGTTGTTTTCTTTAAAGCCTCGAACATATGCCACAGAATTCATCAGGGTCAGAGCGGCTATCAACCTGTTGTCTGGACGCATCAAAGTTTGGGCTCACCAAATGTTGCAGACGAAGAGTCCTGTCCTGGTCAGCTGGGAATCCTTTAGTACTGCTATGGACTCACAATGTAAGACCACTGTGGCCAAGTCAGCTCCACGTACTAAAAAATCTCAGATTCTTCCTAACCAAGAAACCGAGTACCACCACTACGCCCCAGAGATGCCTCCTTATGTTCCAGCTCCCAGGAAAACTCCAGAGGTATCCGGTGTTCCACTTGACCCTGTGGAACCTATGCAATTAGGACTCGTCCACTGCAAAGTGACACCTAGGGAAAGAGACCGAAGGAGAAGCTATGGCCTATGTTACTACTGTGGAGAAAAAGGGCATTTCATCACGCTTTGTCCTGTTCGCCCTCCTAGACCTCCAGCTCTCCGACTTGGTACTAGTTTCCTTCGCCCTGTGTACACCGCATACCAGCCTAAAAAGCCAAATAGAAGCCGTTGTGCTTGCACATGCTTGGCTTCCGCGAGAAACCCTCCATCCCCTGCTCCAGAGCCTCCTGCATCTACTCCCGAAGTTGCTTCCTGTGATACCACCACTACTTCCTGCCCGCCCGAAGAGGTTTTACCTGTGGATTGTGCCGTTGCTTCTAATGGCACTACAGTCCGTAAAGAAGACCTTGAAATGTTCGAAAAAGCATTGTTAGCTGCGAACACTGCTCCTGCCAAAGTTTTGGAAGTGCTTGCCACCTGTACCCGGAACCTAAAAGACCTGGACAATTCTCCAGCCGTACCAGAAGCTGGTACCGCGGACTCCCAAGCTGTAAAGGGAATCCTTGCTGGGGAGTTTGGCTATGGGGACTCACTGGATTCAGATAGTGACCCTGGAGAGGTGTACTATGCTGACAGTGAACCTATTTACGCCCGGAGGTCGTTTTTAAAGGGGGGGGTACTGTCACGGTTCTCACCTGATAGACAGACGGCAAGACGTGGTCGCTCTTGGAGTTCCCAACAGGGGACTTGAACCGGGGATCTTCTCAGTCCTGGTCCTGCTTTCTACCTCTGAGCCACAGCAGCTATTTACAGTGAAGACTGATTCCAGTCCTGTTCATCCTGACATGGCTACTACTCTGGGGGCTGCACCTTGACTTGGCTGTGTTTCACCTGACTCTGATCAGTCATCAGCAGGGTATATAAACCCAGCCTCGCCCTGTGCTCAGGGTCAAGTCTTTGATCCTGTTTGTTCTAGTGTTCCTGTTTCATCGCTTCGCATTATTGACCCCGGCTTCCTGACTCGTTTATTCTGACTTCTGGCATCCCTTGACTTCGGCTACTCCTCGTTGTTCCTGTCCTCTGGCATCCTTTGACCTCGGCTATCCCTCGACCATCCTGCTGGTTCAGTCCTTGCCTGTCCTGCGTATTGGTACTGCATCCTGCACAGCCCCCGTGCACAGACCCACAGGCCAGGTGAATTCTTACCTGACCACCTCGGCCTGTGGCTATCTGCAAGGGTGAGCATCATATCTGCGCTACAGACTCCCAACTCAGGTAAGACCCTGACAACAGGCGGGTGTAGACACATCCATTTTTAGCGCCCACTCCACACGTGGGGCTTCAGCCACTTCTATAGCCTCATCGGGGGCACGCCTGGAAGACCTTATGAGAATGGCGGACTGGTCCAGATAATCCACCTTCAAGGAATTCTACTTTCGACCTCAGCCTCACGTTTTCTCGTCGGTCATTGCTCAGCTTTAAACTTGCAATATGAGCCTCCGTGTCTTGACATAAAATTACATGATTTTGCTATTTCATGACGAAAAGTCATGATTTTATGAAAGACACGGAGGCGAGTATTGCCCCTCCCTTTTACTTATTTGTATAACCTTTCCCCCCCCCTGTTATATCTCGTTTTAGGGCGGTAAGTATAGAATTGCGCTCCATCACCTATGACTTATATGTACATCTGAATCATGACACTACACATACCTGGGGATTCTTGACTTAAAGAATGGGGGGACACTAAGGGGTGACTTGATTTCCAATGTATCGTATCTTGGCATGTACAATTGGTGTTAGTACCGATTTAACCTTTGGGCTCCTGTTATTATGTTTTCACAGGTTGACTCACTTCTGGATGCATCGCATGAAGTGCATCTCTCTACACAGGACTTCTCCAAGTTAACTGGAGTTCGGTGGTTAACGCTGAGATGGACTCCCTATGGTTAACGTTTCATCATTCGTTCCTGGTTTTGTCCCTGTTATTGGGCATCTTCTGGTCAAGTATCCAGATGGACTTTGGGCCGTTGCCCTTCTAGTTCTGGACTGTTCCTGGTTTCTTGCTTGCTGTTGGTGGGTAGCATCTCCAAAGAAAGAGGAATTGGATGGGAAGGTGCTGCCTATTATACTGGGACTGGATATGGGAGTGTCCTATCTCTATGGTTACTGTTTTTTTCTTACTGTTTGTATCCTTTGCTGCTATTGGTGGACAGTAAAGAAAGGGATATGCAATACTCGCCTCCGTGTCTTTCATAAAATCATGACTTTTCGTCATGAAATAGCAAAATCATGTAATTAATTGAATTAGTTTACCAAGAAATTTAAATATTGAATGAATATACAACCTACATAATTAAGCTCTAATTCATGCTGATTAACCTTTGAACTGTAATACCGTATTTAAACAAATCTAATGCGCAAATGTTTGTGAAAATAAAGTTTCCAAAATTTGAATGCGCACTAGATTTGATGGCGCATTACATTCGGGGCAAAATTAGAAACTTTCTGGCAAACTGCATTCCGGCGAATTCAAACTGGTGAATTCATACAGGCGAATTTCGTTCCTTAAGAAAGAATAGACTTACTGTAACACTAAAATTTAAATACCATCAATGTTACTAATGGTATATGGCAATAAACATTTTCATTGTAGCACAATGTTGTATAGTAGTATAAATGCGCATTACATTTGCCAGCTAAACATTTTTCACCTTCCAGGTTTCAAAAATTGAGGTGCGCATTAGATTCGATGGGGCATTAGATTTAAGTAAATACGGTATATCTAAACTCGAAAACTATCTTTACATAGATTTGTCCTCCAAAAGAATTTCATTTTTTAAATTATTTTATTTTATTTTTTTAAAACCATCTATGCCTACACATTTTGTCCATATTTTACATTTGAATGGTATCAAAATTTAGACAAAATTGATACATGGACATTAGCAATAGATGAGCAGAGGGCCAGGCTGCAGATACCTTGGAGAACCCCAGTCTTTTTCAAACTGTTCAAAAACAATACATTGTTAATGTGAAGGTTCTACTTTTACTACCTCATAAACAACGAAAAGGAAAGTTTTATAATGAAGGATGGTTTTTATATTCCATCTATTATGTCATGTGAGCATTTTATCTAACAGAAAAATTGCTGACCTTTGAGTATCATTTAACTGAACTTTTACATATATGACCATATAGTGGCTATTATCCCTAGACTACTCCTTTATTGTTTGATAATCCCTTAATTATATTTCACCTCTGAGTTGTAAAATTGTCTAGTGTTATCAATATGGCAATGAAAACAATCACGCATTATTGTTAAATACTAATTATTAATTAGTGTTTTGTGTAAAAACAATATTCCTAAGTCCCCTCCTGCTCCAGGTTCTGTTTAGCAAGCATATGCAGTTACTCATTGAACTTGCAAGCTTTGAACAGGTCAGGATGCAGGTTAGACAAGTTTATAATCAGCAGGCTGGTTAGCTGTAACCAATATTCATGTTACACGTTGCTACACAATTAGCCTGGACCATTGCGGCGTATTGCGAACAACACAAACAATATGAATTGTGAATAATTCAGAAGAAGAGCAAGTAGAATGTGCCTTGAAAGATATCTTATCTTATTTTCCATGGAAACATTAAACTTTATCAAATTTCCATTACACTGATGTAGTGCAGATCACTTAAATGGTTAACAGCCATAATATCACAATTTTCAATTGCCTACATTAAGGAGCAGTGTGTTTCTGGTTTGTGCTTCAGTTCTCTGTCCTTCATGTCCTAATATATTAATATGACTGCAAACTGATGTCTTGGCAGAGGTCCTTCAGGATAACATCTAAACATCTGCTGTTTATATTTTTTTTTAGGTATCTGCACTCAAATAACATTGTATTTGTTCCAGAAGGTAAGTGACTGTATTCTGATATTGTAATCGGGCGAGTGACTTTCTTTCACCTTCTCCTATCCTATTTCTCTCCTTTTTTAGTAGTTTTTATACTGTATGAAATCAAATTTATTGGTTGATCTACATGGTGATCTTGTTAAATTAGCGGCAGGTAACATTTCCACAAATTCAATCCCATTCTATAGTGCATCTATAACGGCGGTGAATAAATATACACTGCAGATAGTTTAGGCTGCATTGCCCCTAGTTACATTGTTACATAGTTGAAAAGAGACTTGCGTCCACCAAGTTCAGCCTTTCTCACATATGTTTTTGCTGTTGATCCAAAAGAAGGCAAAAGCCTAGTCTGAAGTGCTTCCAATTTTCTAACAAACTAGGGAAAAATTCCTTCTTGACCCCAAAATAGTAGTCTGATATCTCCTTGGATCAAGCAGCTATTACCCCACAAATTAGAAATTATATCCCTATATGTTATGTTTTTGCAAGTATTTATCCAATTGCAGTTTAAACATCTGTATGGACTCTGATAAAACCACATCTTCAGGCAGAGAATTCCATATCTTTATTGCTCTTACTGCAAAAAAAAACTTTTCTTTAGATGAAATCTCCTTTCTTCCAGCCTAAATGCGTGACCTTGTGTCCTATCTATAGCCCTGCTTATGAATAGATTTCTAGATAATGGTTTGTACTGGCCCCGAATATATTTGTATAATGTTATATCCCCTCTGAGGTGCCGTTTTTCCAAACTAAAGAGATTTACATTTTTTAACCTTTCTTGGTAACTAAAATGCTCCATTAATTTTATCAATTTTGTAACTCGCCTCTGCACTTTTTCTAGTGTCATGATATCCATGATACCCAAAATTGCACAGCATATTCAAGGTGTGGTCTTACCAGTGATTTATAAAGAGGCAAAATTATATTTTCATCCTGAGAATTTATGCCCCTATTTATACATGACAAAACCTTACTGGCCTTAGCAACTGCAGATTGACATTGCATACTGTTGCCTAATTTGTTGTCTATAACAATTCCCAAATCCTTCTTGTCTGTGGTTATCCTTAATTCACTACCATTTAGGGTGTACGTTGCTTGTGCATTCTTGACCCTGAAGTGCATAACTTTGCATTTCTCTACATTACATTTCATCTGCCATTTTAGTGCCCAGTCCCCCCAATCTATTTAAATCCATCTGCAGCAAAGCAATATCCTGCTCACATTTTATTAATTTACAAAGTTTTGTGTCATCTACAAACACTGAAACATGGCTTTCAATGCCTATTGCACGATCATTTATAAATATGTTAAATAGAAGTGGTCCCAAAACAGAACCCAGAGGGACACAACTTACCACTTTTGTCCAGCCTGAAAATTTACCATTAATGACAACTAGTTGTACGCTATCCTTAAGCCAATGTTCTACACAAGAACAAGAATATTCAAGTTATTTTAGTTTGAAGACTAACCTATTTTGAGGAACCGTATGAAATACCTTGGCAAAATCCAAGTAGATCACACTGCAACACCCTGATCTATACTTACTTCTTTGTAGAATGCAATTAGGTTAGTTTGACATGACCTGTTTCATAAAACCATGCTGATTATTGCTAATAACAAAGTTCTTCCCAATGAATTCCTGAATATTATCCCTTAATAGCGCTTCAAATATTTTCCCAGTCACAGAAGTTAGGCTCACAGGTGTATAATTTCCAGGCAAGGATTTTGAATCCTTTTTAAATATAGGAACAACACCTGCCTTCCTCCAACCCTCCAGTACAATACCTGAAACAAAAGAATATTGACAGATTAAATACAGAGGTTCACTTATTTCCCCACGTAGCTCCTTAAGTACTCGAGGGTGAATACCGTCGAGCTTTATTTACATTAATTTTCTTTAACTGCTGTAGCACCTTGTCTCGAGTCATCCAATCACAAGTTATCTGCAAGTTTTTTGCAGCAATCATTTGCATATCTCTTGCCATAGGATCCTCATTAATATATACTGAAGAAAAATAGTTCTTTAAAATTTCTGCCCTTTCCTGTAGTTCTGCAATTAATTCCACGAAAGACAACAATGTGTTTAATGCAGCAAACACATATTACAATAGATTGTCATACCTTACTTCAGGTATCTAAATATATACTGTGCAAGGCCTTATTTGCATGACTTACACAGGCTTTTCACTAAATGGAGAATTCAAAGTGAATTTCATATTTTAGACCATAGTAGGCAAATTGGAAGCATTGCTGACTGATTCAATGTGAATTCTAGCTGTAGTAAATAACCCTGTCAGTCTCTCAGTGCTCTGTCTGCACTTGAGGATGTTCATTATAGTTCTAAACGTAATTGCCATGGAAACCATATTACATTGTTCATTCCTCCCGTTTTGCATTTTTGCACCACTTTTTAAAACAGAAGACTTTCATACGTACACCTTACAGGGAGTGCAGAATTATTAGGCAAATGAGTATTTTGACCACATCATCCTCTTTATGCATGTTGTCTTACTCCAAGCTGTATAGGCTTGAAAGCCTACTACCAATTAAGCATATTAGGTGATGTGCATCTCTGTAATGAGAAGGGGTGTGGTCTAATGACATCAACACCCTATATCAGGTGTGCATAATTATTAGGCAACTTCCTTTCCTTTGGCAAAATGGGTCAAAAGAAGGACTTGACAGGCTCAGAAAAGTCAAAAATAGTGAGATATCTTGCAGAGGGATGCAGCACTCTTAAAATTGCAAAGCTTCTGAAGCGTGATCATCGAACAATCAAGCGTTTCATTCAAAATAGTCAACAGGGTCGCAAGAAGCGTGTGGAAAAACCAAGGCGCAAAATAACTGCCCATGAACTGAGAAAAGTCAAGCGTGCAGCTGCCACGATGCCACTTGCCACCAGTTTGGCCATATTTCAGAGCTGCAACATCACTGGAGTGCCCAAAAGCACAAGGTGTGCAATACTCAGAGACATGGCCAAGGTAAGAAAGGCTGAAAGACGACCACCACTGAACAAGACACACAAGCTGAAACGTCAAGACTGGGCCAAGAAATATCTCAAGACTGATTTTTCTAAGGTTTTATGGACTGATGAAATGAGAGTGAGTCTTGATGGGCCAGATGGATGGGCCCGTGGCTGGATTGGTAAAGGGCAGAGAGCTCCAGTCCGACTCAGACGCCAGCAAGGTGGAGGTGGAGTACTGGTTTGGGCTGGTATCATCAAAGATGAGCTTGTGGGGCCTTTTCGGGTTGAGGATGGAGTCAAGCTCAACTCCCAGTCCTACTGCCAGTTCCTGGAAGACACCTTCTTCAAGCAGTGGTACAGGAAGAAGTCTGCATCCTTCAAGAAAAACATGATTTTCATGCAGGACAATGCTCCATCACACGCGTCCAAGTACTCCACAGCGTGGCTGGCAAGAAAGGGTATAAAAGAAGAAAATCTAATGACATGGCCTCCTTGTTCACCTGATCTGAACCCCATTGAGAACCTGTGGTCCATCATCAAATGTGAGATTTACAAGGAGGGAAAACAGTACACCTCTCTGAACAGTGTCTGGGAGGCTGTGGTTGCTGCTGCACGCAATATTGATGGTGAACAGATCAAAACAGTGACAGAATCCATGGATGGCAGGCTTTTGAGTGTCCTTGCAAAGAAAGGTGGCTATATTGGTCACTGATTTGTTTTTGTTTTGTTTTTGAATGTCAGAAATGTATATTTGTGAATGTTGAGATGTTATATTGGTTTCACTGGTAATAATAAATAATTGAAATGGGTATATATTTGTTTTTTGTTAAGTTGCCTAATAATTATGCACAGTAATAGTCACCTGCACACACAGATATCCCCCTAACATAGCTAAAACTAAAAACAAACTAAAAACTACTTCCAAAAATATTCAGCTTTGATATTAATGAGTTTTTTGGGTTCATTGAGAACATGGTTGTTGTTCAATAATAAAATTAATCCTCAAAAATACAACTTGCCTAATAATTCTACACTCCCTGTAATGACTGTGTTAGAGACACTGTAGGCACCGTAACTACTTCCTCTCTTTTGAAGTAGCTATTGTGCCTGTAGTCCCTTGGCGACATATTACTGTTCAGTGTTAAACTCTTGTTAAATGTTTAATGCTGAATGAGAGACACCAGCAGAACATTCCCCTTGTGCTGCTGGGGCTAATGAGGAAACATTAACCTGAGCAACAGTGGGCAGCGGTGATTGGCTGGCTACTTTTAGTCTGTCATAAATCCCATAGCTGGTATGAACTGGTATGATTAAGGATGTGTTTACTCTCTGCCATACCTCCAGTAGGAGCTTGGTTTTTGGTGACCAAAGACCCTTATTCATTGCTAAACTGCTTGAAAAAGACTGCATGGAGGTACAAAGCTTGGGGACTATGTTTAACACTCACATTGGTGAGGGTCTTAAGAACAGAAGAAATTAAAATATATGTTGGGCTTAACACTATATAATTAGAAATGAAGATTATTTTGCTTTCGTTATGTGCACTGGTAATATGTATTCTTCTCTCATTTTCATACAGATTAATTAAAATCCGGCATAGTCACGAACTGATCATGCCATTAAGGCCAGAAATAACCAAGCTAATAAAATAGATGTTAGAGAATTATTCTAAATTGAATAACCACAATTATTCTAGGAATAGTGTAATCTTCTTGCCTTGAAATTAAGGAGAACTCCCCTTTTGCAGCTATCGGCTCATTGGTGAAGCTGCAGTCATTGGACCTTAGTGACAATGCCCTTGAATTTCTGTGCCCGGACATTGGGAGGCTGAGATCATTGCGTCATTTACGGTTAACAAACAATCGGCTGAAATATCTCCCTCCAGGTAAAACCAGATGCGTATATTTTACTATAGATGTATTTGACATTTTTCTGTCATGCATTGGGAGAGCAGTTACAGTATTTAGTTGTGCATACATACTTTTTGTCATTATGTTTCTTTTTGAGTCTTTCTTCTAATGATAACATTTCCATAAAATCACGTTGTACAAAATTGAGAGGAAATGCTTTGTGAATAATATAGCAACTGTACAGGTACGTTCTGACTTCCTGGCACTTCTCTCAAATCAGATATATGTTAAAGCAGAAGGCAAGTAATTTAGCGTATTGTGACTAGTTTACACAAAACTAAATACATCCAAGTTTTCTCAGTTTTATTACTTTTTTTTTCTTTTCTTTTTGATGGTTTCAACCACAGAGCAGGTGTGTTTCATAGTGAATATGACCAAAATAAGGAGAGCTGAGGTACTGTTCAGTTGGGGTGAGATTTCAGATACATTTCCAAGAAGAACTTGTAAATAGCCTGTTGACTTGAATAACAGTTTAGAAATAGCAAGGGAACTTTACTGACGAAACAATAATGTAGAGGTAGCAGTTTACAATTCCCTCATCACCTGTTATGTTGTAGAAATGGTCATTTCATTATAGAATTATATTGGCCTTAAATAAGTATCTTAGGAATGCAACTTGATGCCAAAGCAGTAAAAAGTGCATTGGTTGTATGTCAGCATAGCCGGAGCTTGATAGATCAGTGACCTAGTACTGCCACTTTGTCCCTGCAATGCCAGTGCTGGTCTTTATCTGAGGTAGGCAACCAATTAGCAGAATGGTGTCAAAACAAGACTGGAGTGCTAGTCCTGTTTTTTAAAATTAATGTGTGTTTATGATACTGTATTCTGCTGTGTTTTGTATGCTACTTTGTGGTGTTGTGTGTGTGTTTGTGTGATTGGGTAGTTTTTTGTTTGTGTTATATATGTGGTCTCTAGTGTGTGTGTGTGTTTGGGGAGGGCAGCTTTTAGGATTATGCATTGGCTGTATGTCATATTGTGTATGTGGTGTGTGTATGTGGGCTTTCAGTGGTGTTGTGTGTTTATTTGCATGTGGGCTGTTAGTAGGTGTGTGTTTGTATGTGTAGTAAACGTATTATTCATATATTTACTGACTTTAATATGATTATTTTTTTCTAATAAGGGTTTAGTTCTCCAAAGCACACTATAACTCTATATTTAGGGATTTGTGACAAAAGGTCACTATTGTATGTATAGGTGGAAACATTAAATAGTGTGTCAAATATTGTTAAAGGGACACTATAGTCTCCAAAACAACTTTAGCGTAATGAAACAGTTTTGGTGTATAGTTCATGCCCCTGCAATCTCACTGCTCATTTCTTAGGAATTTAAATGACTCTGTTTATGCAGCCCATGTCACACCTCCCTGCATGTGACTTACACAGCCTTCCTAAACACTTCCTGTAAAGAGTAATCTAATGATTACACTTCCTTTATTGCAAATTCTATTTAATTTATAATTGTTGATCTCCTGCTCTATTAATGGCTTGCTACACCCTGCAGGAGCCTCCTGTATGTAATTTTTTTTTAAAGTAAGTTAAATCTGATTGCAAATTAAACCATTTTTTTTCGTGCAGGCTGTGTCAGTCACAGCCAGGTGAGATGTGGCTAGGACTGCATAAACATAAACAAAAGTGATTTAAATCCTAAATGGGAGAGATTTGAGAATTGAGACATCAGAGGCATGATATATACACAACAACTGCTTCATTAAAGTTGTTTTGGTTATTATAGTGTCCTTTTAAGTATAGAAGTGGTTGTAGGGCAAAAATCTTTAAATGGCATGAACATCTTTGAATTCCATGTGTTTTTTTCTGCATTTTTATCTTTTATTATTTGTGTAAATTTTTCAATTAATTCCTTTCCAGTCCACTGTCAATACTCTTACTTTGCTTTTGTGGTTCCAGAAATTGGAAAGCTAAAAGAGCTTCAAACATTGGACCTGTCCACCAATCACTTGGTCACCCTGCCAGAAAAACTGTATCTTTGTCACTCGTTGCAGTACCTGACAGTGGATCGAAACCTTCTTCAGAGTGTCCCACGACATCTTTGCAAGCTAGCCAGTCTAAATGAGCTCTCCATGGCTGGAAACCGCTTAGCATCTCTACCATTGGGTGAGTGAGGTGAGGAGCTAGACCAAGCATTCACACCACTTCCACAGGATCAAGCTATTGTCTTGTTTTCTCAGATGAAGAGCTGATAAAGGGATGGATACTCTGCAAGGGTTTTAACAGATTTTAATTAGTATGTTAATTTTCCCAAAACATTTGTCAAGGTAGACCAGTTGTCCCTATTGGAACAGCATTGGAAATGCATTAGGTAGTAGATATTATAATTAAGATCCTTTTCTTGATTTCTTAGCCAGTTTAAAATGATACTTAATTTTAATTTATGCTTGGTTATTTACACTTTGTCCCTCTTATTGTGGTAGTTAGTTTGAATAATTTGTTTTTGGTAAATCATTTTTGCAGCTAAAATGTTGCAAGTGTTGACTAGGTTAGAAAAATGTGTACTTTAAAGGACCACTATAGTGCCAGGTCTTTAGGTCCCCCCCACCCTCAGGATCCCACTACCGCTGGGCTGTAAAGGGGCTAAACTTTCTCCAGTGCCAGGCTCCCTCGGCGCTGGGGAACTCTCCTCCCTCTTCCGACGTCAGCGCCGAATGTGCATGTGCGCGCATTCAATCAGTCCATAGGAAAGCATTTCACAATGCCTTCTTAAGGACGTCAGCGTCTTCTCACTGCGATTTTCACAGTGAGAAGCGTGGAAGCGCCTCTAGCAGCTGTCAATGAGACAGGCACTAGAGACTGGATTAACGGTACTGTAAACATAGCAGGGTTAACCCTAGATGGACCTGGCACCCAGAACACTTCATTGAGCTGAAGTGGTCTGGGTGCCTATTAGGAATCGACCGATTATCGGTTTTACCGATATTCTGTATTTTCGGCAGTATCGGCCAATATAGATACCAATATTGCCGATAAAACATACCAGGACCGCCAAGCCCATTACAAGCCCGGCGGTCCTGGGGGGGCCGACAGCAAGCTGTTACTTACCTCTCAGCAGCTCCCATGTCAAATCTTGCGAGTCCCGCGGCCGCAGAGCATTGCCACGGGTTACCATGGCAACGCTCCGCGCGGCACTCAGGTCACGAGATTTACACTGGGAGCTGAAGGGAGCTGCTGGGAGGTAAGCAACAGTTTGCTGTCGGCCCCTCCCAGTGCACAGCACATGCCACTGGACCACCAGGGAATGCTATAGCCCCCTCCCTGGCCAGGTAACAAGCAGGGAGTGGGGACAAAAAATAAAAACTTATAAATATTAAAATAAAATAAAACACACTGCAGATAAAAAAAATAAAACATATAAATATTAAAAATACAATTAAAATAAAAAATGCCTCCCCTCCTGCCCATTTTACACAAATTACATCCCTTCACAAACACACACACTGCATTCATTATATATACAAACACACACACACACACTGCATTCATTATATATACAAACACACACTGCATTCATTATATACACAAACTATACAAACAAACACACACTACATTCATTATATACACAAACTATACAAACACACACACTGCATTCATTGTATACACAAACTATACAAACACACACACTGCATTCATTATATACACAACTATACAAACACACACACTGCATTCATTATATACACACACCACACACACTCTGCATTATATACACACACCACACACACTCTGCATTATATACACACTCTGAATTATATACACATACACACACTCTGCATTATATACACACACTGCATTATATACACACACACTGCATTCACTATACACACACTGCATTCACTTTACGCACACTACACACACTGCATTCACTTTACGCACACTACATTCACTATACACACACTACACACTGCATTCACTATAAACACACTACACAAACACTCACTGCATTCACTATAAACACACTACACAAACACTCACTGCATTCACTATACACACTACACGCTCACTCCATTTACTATACACACTACACAAACACACCCTGCATTCATTATATACACACTGCATCCACTACACACACACACAGCTCCCCTGTCTAAACACACTGCATCCACTACATGTGGCATGTATATTTTGTGCATTTACCTTTAGAAATAGTTTATTTTTTCAAAATGGTAAATGTACAGAATATCGGCAAGTTGTCGGCTATCGGCCTGAAAGTTCACAGATAATCGGTAACGGCTTTAAAAAAACTATATCGGTCGATCCCTAGTGCGTATAGTGGTCCTTTAATGGGCATGATTTCAAATTGCTGGATTAGGTGAAGTTCCGAATTTATACTTGTACATTTAAACAATAAAAATACTTTACATGTGGGACAAGTGGTTTTGCCTATTAGGGATCGACCAATTATCGGTTTTACCGATTTATCTGTATTTTCGGCAATATCGGTATCGGCCAGTATAGATACTGATATTGCCGATAATACATACCAGGACCGCCAAGCCCATTACAAGCCCGGCGGTCCTGGGGGAGCCGGCAACAAGCTGTTACTTACCCCTCAGCAGCTCCCTTCAGCTCCCATGTCAAATCTCGCGAGTCCCGCGGCCGCAGAGCATTGCCAGAGGTTACCATGGCAACACTCTGCACGGCACGCAGGCCACGAGATTTACACTGGGAGCTGAAGGGAGCTGCTGGGAGGTAAGCAACAGTTTGCTGCCGGCCCCTCCCAGTGCACAGCACATGCCACTGGACCAACAGGGAATGCTATAGCCCCCCTCCCTGGCCAGGTAACAAGCAGGGAGGGGGGACAAAAAAGAAAAACGTATAAATATTAAAATAAAATAAAACACACTGCAGATAAAAAAAATAAAACATATAAATATTAAAAATACAATTAAAATAAAAAAAATGCCTCCCCTCCTGCCCATTTTACACAAATTACATCCCTTCACAAACACACACACACACACACTGCATTCATTATATATTCAAACTATACAAACACACACACACACACTGCATTCATTATATATACAAACACACACTGCATTCATTATATACACAAATAATACAAACACACACACTGCATTCATTATATATACAAACACACACACACACTGCATTCATTATATACACAAACTATACAAACACACACACACACTGCATTCATTATGTACACAAACTATACAAACACACACACTGCATTCATTATATACACAAACTATACAAACACACACACACACACACTGCATTCATTATATACACAAACTATACAACACACACACTGCATTCTATATACACACTCTGAATTATATACACATACACACATTCTGCATTATATACACACACACTGCATTATATACACACACACTACACAAACACACACACTGCATTCACTATACACACATTACACACTGCATTCACTATACACACACTACACAAACACACACTCTGCATTCACTATATATACACAATACACAAACACTCACTGCATTTACTATACACACTACACAAACACACCCTGCATTCATTATATACACACTGCATCCACTACACACACACACACACACACACACACACAGCTCCCCTGTCTAAACACACTGCATCCACTACATGTGGCATGTATATTTTGTGCATTTACCTTAAGAAATAGTTTATTTTTTCAAAATGGTAAATGGTAAATGTACAGAATATCGGCAAGTTATCGGCTATCGGCCTGAAAGTTCACAGATAATCGGTAACGGCTTTAAAAAAAACAATATCGGTCGATCCCTAGTGCCTATAGTGGTCTTTTAATGGGCATGATTTCAAATTGCTGGATTAGATGAAGTTCCGAATTTATCCTTGTACATTTAAACAATAAAAATACTTTACATGTGGGACAAGTGGTTGTTTTTCCTCTTTATTTTTAAAATGGCTGTGTGAAAATAAGAATAAAATACTGGGAGGATAATTTCACATGGTGGGATGCTTAACCTACCCCAAGAGAAACAAAGGCATGGCAGACTTTGTAAACTGTAACATGCATGTGATAAGTCTGCATTGTAACTTAAAATAAACACAGAAACACTGTGTTTCTCATCGAGCACTATGGGACATGACTGTACAATGACCATCTAGATAAATGTGGATTGTGTTAGTGTCTTTGCATAAAGTCTACAACAGCAAGGAGCTATGTGTGAAACATGCAACAAAACATACTGAAACAGCAGAAATCGGCTGCATGAAAATGTTTAAAATGTTCCATGTACAATTCCCTGACTTGCTTACTCGGACAGAGCAATCTGGCAAAGATAAAGTTAGGAAACTGAAACGAGACAAGTCCCTTATTTAGCCCTGCATGTTTCCAAAAACCTGATAAATTATGCATGAGGTTACTGCATATTAATGTGTTTGGAAGAAAACCCCATAAAAGTCAGTTACTGGTAATATACCCTTATTACAAAGATCAAAATACCCTGTGATGTACTCTGGATTGTCTACTTTTCACAGCTATAAATATACTTTAATGAGAGTAATTTGGACTGTTAAATGGTACCAGAATGGTACATGTGATCATTATTAGCATTATTTCTAGTTAATTTACTAAATAAATAATTTTAATAATAACGTTATTTTACTACTTACATGGCTTTTGTATAATCAGTTTAGCTAAAGGTATGTAAAACCCATTATAGTTTTTCTGTAAAGGAACACCTTAGCATTGGAAATGCAAATCTGTATTCCAAACGTTAAAGTCTCCCTGTCCATAGTTGGTTTTAGGTGTATACCGCTTTATGTTCAAACTGCTAATAGTTGAACACTAAGATGCAGACAGTTAGTAGCTGTGGGCAGCTAAACATGGGCCAAGAAGTCAGACACTTCTCTGTATTTTTTGGCCACAAATATCTACTGGCTATTAGTAATAACATCATCTTATGGCGGATATTTAATGGCCACATTAGAAATGAGGCCTGGGTGGAAATTGCATGATGATTTATTGTTTAACAATACCAAGACCAGGTTTAGATTAATAAAAACAAAAGCAACATAGATTCACTGTAAGGGTGATCCAGAACTAAATAGTTGTTTAGTTAGGTTTGTTTCTGTCCCTATTCAACATGTTTGTATTGTTGAATGTTAAAGCTGTGACGAGTAACATTTAACCCACTTCCTCTACAACTATACGTTGCTTGATCAGGATCCTCGTCACCTTATTCTTCAAACAATATATTCATAAGTTAGCATTTTGGTCAATAAGCCTGTGACAAACTCCCCTTTTCAAGTGAGTTTGCCATGAGTTCTTGGAGGGGCCCGCTTGCCAGCCTCCTGCCCACAGACTATGGACCCTGTAAACTGTGATATAAACGTCTCCGTTTGTCTATTTGAATTATATGGTTTGGTAACCGAGCAGCCACACGAACCATAGACCACCCTGGAGCTTGTTAAGCTTAATTGATACAATGTTGCAATTTCCACCGTAGTGGTCTAAGTGTTCGTCTGGGTGGCCGCAATTCCTATGGACAACCACAAGTAGGCGGCCATCTTGTTCGCATGTAACAAAACTGCGAATAGACTTCAGGGGGATTTAGTTGTGAATGCCCTGGAACTATTTTCGGCATGAAAACTTCACAGTTCCCGGTCAGTTCCCCAGCGGCACTTAGCCGCGATTCTATGGAACTATTTTTGGCTATGGGACCATGCCTGGAAATTCCTGAACCCCTGAACTGATCTAGGTGATTTTTGGATATGTCGGTCACTCAGATCAGGGCTATCAGTATTGTAACATATGTGGGGTTTTATGTATTTTTAGGGTACTTTTGAGGTGTTTTGAAAATGTTTTTTTCTGTACTTGGAGATAATTGGATTAGAATTAGTACAGTTACTGATCCAATTATCTCCCAGGCAGAGGGTTGTATGCTTGTATATGGGAGTGTCATGTATTTAAACACCTTTGTCATTCGTCTGTGACTTTGTGCTGCAGTCCCCCACAAGGTCCAGATAGGAGTGCCCCTTGCATGGGGACCTGCATATAAGGCCAGTTGTGGCTGCCATTAAAGCATTCCAGCTTGCACTCTAAAACTGCGTGTCGTCCTGTTATTGGAGGGAAGGATGATTTACCCTTGTGTCTGCTGTTCCAGCTTCCAGGGAATTCAACGGGGGAAAGTCCTTGTAAGGACTAGAGCTCCCAGGACTGAGTGTCGTCCAGTGCCTAGGGCTTTCTAGAGCAAATTCCCCATTTGGCTCCAGGAAGGAGCGGCCCCAGGGCCCCAGTCAAGCCACAGCGACTGTGGGCAGAAGTGCTGCGGTTTGTTCCCTGTTCCAGCTAGGAAGCGGTCCTTGGCAGAGGTACCCAGCCAGGGGTACAGGGAGCTCTGTTACAAAGCCCCTTAGCCAATCGGTAGCGGTGTATGAATGCTGTGGAATGTTTTTAGACTTTTGGGAAGCTTTTGTTAACATCTCATAATAAACAATCAGGGTTTTCACAAAACTCGGACACAAACTAAGTTATGACTGTTGCTGAGATGGGGAATATCTCCAAATCAACTTGTTAAACCTCAGTTTTGCCATTCACACTTAATTAGCTAAAACTAAGCTTAGTGAATTACCCTGTATATCTCTAACTAGGTGTTTTCAGATGCATCATTGGGTTGGAAGTACTGTATCTGAAGCACCAACTACTGAGCTATGTCATTGAACTAAATATCTTGTTTACGGCTTATATGTGAATTATTGGCATGTTGCACTAATGATATCTTCATTCTTAATGTGCACACATCTTGACTTCTAACAAGCCGGAAGTGTGCTTGCATCTTTGCTCCAGAAATGTGTAAGCATTACAATCATTGAAAGTACTTGTTACTTATTTTGAGATGTCAATTTGACATGTTTTATACTTCTCTGTATTGAATCACCTTTTTATCCTGAGAGGGATACTTTGCTTTAACAAGCAAATGGCAGTGGAGGTTTTCAATTAACATGTTTTTTTCTGTTTCTTGTTTAATACTTGATGTAGGAAGAAGATAATAAGTAATACATTCTGACGCTTTAGCTGAGTCTAATTATCTTCAGTTGGAAATCAGGGGAGGCGGTCACTTGAGGGCTTCTAAGATATGGACGAGAGACTATTTTATGTATTAAAGGAAAACGCAACAGTAGAACCAAGATCTCTGATAATCTAAGAACAATACACATGGAAAGCCACAGTCCCAGATTCTGAAAAAAATAAACTTAAAAGAGTTTATTCACTAAACACCACATTTTCACAAATTAGAATAGCAAAATTTAGTCTAATTAGCTATTTGGAGTATTTTTCCTAATCTGTTATTTTTGAACTTTTCAGAATTTAGTGAATAAACACCAAAGCTTTCAGCATGTTATTTGGTTTGATTTGCCAGATCTGGAAAAAGAAAAAAATGTGTGGGCTGTGACATTTGGCAGTCAACATTTTAACTTACAAGTAATCTTTTTGTTGCTGCCTCAAAGATAATTTTGACATTTCTCCATTATCTTGCTTGTGTATGTGTATTTCCCTCTTCTCTTGGCAGGACTTTGCTTCTATACAAACATCATTTACTTTGGTCTGTTCTGCTCAGTTAGCAAAAGTTCCCATATTTGGGCTTTGTGTGAGTCTGGCCATCAGCACCAGTCCAGTCCAAAGCTCGATGTAAATCACACACATTGCTCTCCAGACAATGGAGCTGCAGCTGCCAACTTCTGAGCTCCGGTGATAAAAAATAAAATCATGTGCTGGGCACCTGCCAAGAAGCTAGCCGAGCGACAATGTGTTATGAAAGCTAAACCTGTTTCTCATTGCGCACTGGTTTCCAGCTTTTTTGCATATAAGGAACCAATTTTAATTTCAAAACATATTTTGGTACCATTCTGGTAGTCTTTTGGTGACTATTTTTCTTTACTGCTTTCCAGGATCTCTTACTCTCCATACAATCACACTCATGATCCAGTCTTACAGTTAGCAGGTCTCTAATTCTTATGTTTTTAAAAATTCTAATTTAAGAAAAGAGAGAGGTTTTTTTTTTCCCTGGTCTCTTAATTCAAAGATTTAGCAGAACAGCTCTGGCAGTCAGTATCCAGCACAAATATGTTAAAATGCAGTAACACTAACCGACCATAGATTTCTGATACAGATGTAACAGAGCTCACAACTCACAAATGAATTATTATGTGGACTTTAGGATGCCTTCAACATTTGTTCCTGATGATCATCTGTAGTGGACCCCCAGAACACTGGTCTATTACACTCAACCTGATATCATTTATTGCCGGGCTCTCTCTCACATACGTTAGAATGCTGTCTTCTGCTTTCTTTCCCAGCTTTCTTCAACACTCAGTCTCTATGTTCCATTGCATTGTTCATGTTGTACTATCTCATCTGTGCTCTCACCCATCTTTCCATTTGTACTATCTTCTATATCTTACCCATTAAGAAGTTAATAAACATTTTATTATTTGGTAGATCACTGTGGTATTGTGTGAACTTCTGCTTTTGTAATGATTTCAGGAAGACGATTATGTGGTGTGTCTTTTTTTACTGGGTTTGTAGAAATGACTCTTGATGGTAAGGAATTTGTTTTAAACCAACAGACTGTTCAGTATGCCATCTGCAGTATTTTGCTTTTGGTAATATTTGGTATGTTGATTGGGTAAAGCACGTATTACTTAATTATGTTAATAAAGATAAGGTACAGTAGAACAAGGAGTAGTAAAACATCAGTTTGGGGAAAGAAGTGCAATGGGGAGAGAAAAAGGAAAAAGAAAAGACGAGCTCTTAGTTTGTTCAAGATGTTGGTGTATTCTGAACTACACAAATCCTTCTTTATCAAACCAATTCAAATACTTATTGAACAGATTACAGGGCTACAGAAGCATGTCTGTAGATGAATCTTAAAGGGATAATAATTAGGATTATAACATATATTTCTTGAGACAGTGACCCTCTCCAATTGTGCATATGTTTTTGGAATCCAGGACCTGGTGGTCTGGCGTACAGTAACAGAAGGTCTCTGGAGTCACAGATTGAGATTCTTGCACTCTCTTTAGGCTCAACTGTAGAAGTCACTGAGGGGGGTAGGATATGTGGTAAAAAAAAAAACATGTGGCCTTTAGTCCAAGTGTTAAAACGTGCTTATAGAAGTAAAGGACCTCACAGAAATCTTTAGGAGTTAGCCTGATTATTTCAGGATCTTTGTGATCAATCATGTGCCATGTAACATTCTTCTAGTGACACCACAGGTAACTTTCTTATGTGGATCCTGGGATCTTTTTCTCTACTACCATGCCTGGAAAAGTCGTATTATTATTTACGAAGAGCCAAAAAATCAAAAAGGCTAAAGTGGAAATGGAGGAGGGACATGATATATGTGTTGTTATTTGCAATCATTTAACTTTACCTCATTCATCATAATCAAAAAATATTGGGGTGACAGAGGGTGCATTGTGAGTTTTGAGCGTTGTCAAAATTATCAATACCCCTTTAGTTATAGGGACTTTGTGATCCTCCGAATTCTAAACTTTTTTCCCTCCTATTTAGATGCCAGGAGAGTTGTTTTTACTTTCAGTATTTGGGAGAGTGGCTTTCCATGTGTATTGTTCTTAGATGTTTAAAGACCTTGGTTCTACTGCTGCCTTTTCCTTTAAAACATAAAATTGTCTCTCATCCATATCTTAGGGGTGTGAAATGGAACATTCTTTCAAAAATGTGAGCTGTGCTTTTCATAGAATCAAAGTGACCAAATAGTGCGTTGGCCGAATGTGTAAATTGAAATATATATATATAAATGTGAAGCTATGTGAACACAGTGAGTGCACTATTTGACAGCGTCCTCATAATCTGCGCATTGTTGGTACTTTGACTGGTCAAATGGTTTGTTTCTATTCTCTCTTCAGATTTGGGAAGATCTCGTGAACTACAATATGTCTATGTGGATAACAATATTCAGCTTAAAGGCCTCCCTTCTTTCCTGTATAACAAAGTCATTGGCTGTAGCGGGTAAGCCCATTCCTCTATGCATTTATGGCTTCTGTGGCATAGAATCCACTAATAACATTTAACCACAAAATAAGGAATGTATAAAAGGGTTTAAAATTTCAAGTTTCTTGCTGCTAACATAATGTCATGTTTGTCGTGACTAAAGCAAAGGGCACTTTAATGCTGATCGAGAGGCCAGTGCTGACTTCTGTAGAGTTGAAAAGCTTTGATAGCTTATATAAAAACTATGCTTTAAACAAAACTGTTTAAACTGTTCTGCCTTCAGTTCCTGCAACGTATTATTGTGTAAATTCATTTTTTTCAACTTTTTCACAGCTGTGGCTCCCCTGTTCCCATTCATGAGATAAAGCTACTTTCCTTTACATCTGGGCAGCTCAGTGTCCATCTTCCGGCAGAGGTGAAGGCCATAGGTTCTGCAGCAGATTCTGTGTTACCACTACAAGAACTGGCATTGCGAACCCTTCATGCTGCTTTCTGCTCATATTTAGAAGGTGAGAGCAAGCGATTGTCACACGTCTTAAATTGTTCATTTCATCTTCACCAACCACTGTACTTCAAAACCATTCTTCCATCAATCTGATGAGTCACTAACGTGTTGGTATTGGCAAAGATGATCAGACTTCCCTTGGTCAGAGGTTCAGTCAGAAGCTTAAATGAGCAGGAAGAGTATGTGGGCATCTTGCCCACAGCTTTCCTTTTAGGGACATCACCGATGCAGCTCAGTGTCTGTGTATGATTTTAATGTAAGTGTGATCAAAGTATTGAAATTATTCAGTTCTACTTATTCATGTAAGGTAATATGGATATTGTCACCAGGTATCTATAGCTTGTGTTTATGGATGAATGGTCAATAATTTCCACACAAAAAAAGGTAGATAATGCTTACTATTCTAAGCAATACCAAAGACGAATGCAAAATATTTAGGAAAGGACATTTCTACAAAACAAATAATTACTTCCCTGATTAGAAAATGTGCACTGTTAAAATCATAGCATCTTCCTCATTTTCCAAGTGGGAAAGGGAATTGGGAAAAGAGCAAGATAATCTTGCTTTTCTTTTGGTTTGTGCGACTGGTGTGATCTCTGTTGTCAGGCTGTTAGAATGTAAAGGGACTGTCAGTCCAGTCTCATAAAGCACTTTCGCTTGCTGAAGTGCTTTAGCTGTTAGCATGTCCGTTTCAAGAGAAATTGACACTTTTATAAATCCCCTTAGTAATATCGTCCAGCTGTCAGACAGCCAGGAGGTATCCTACCTCACTTGCTTTGATTTGACTTCAAACTAGAAGTGAGTGCTTCTTCTCAAGAAGCATTGTTGACGTAAGGCAGTGATTTGTTGAGGATGCACTATATGTCCCAATGATTGGAAAAGCTGAAATAAAGGTGAGCTGGAATTGAGGGGGGCTGTAACATATAAATAATAGGGACACTCCAGTTAAATAATATCTATGTAAATTATGACATTTATGTTATGCCTTTTATAAGTGTTTTGTAGTAATGTTATCATTTTAAAGCTTAATCTTGTTTCAATGTTATGTTTCACTTTGTAGACATAAGCTGCATATCCCCCATTTCATTACCTAGAAGTCTCCTGGAGCTTTTGCAGTGCCCCCTTGGACACTGTCACCGTTGCAGTCAATCTATGTTTACTATCGTCTATCCAAAGCTCTTCCCCCTTCGAGAGACACCCATGGCTGGGCTTCATCAGGGGTAATTCAGAAGTTATACCGTAACAACCTGTTTTTATGCAAACTCTTGGGTACAGCAGGGTTTTCAGTGCAACTTATGAGGAAGCATTCGCCTGAGCAGCTCTTATTGGCTGAGAGTGTCAGTTCTGTCTATCACAGTGCTCATTGCTGGCATAAGTTGGTATGGCTACAATTCAGACGTGTGTAATCTCTCCCTTAGCAAATATCTCATATGTACCAGGTTATGGGAAGCCAGGGACCCTCATTCTGTGTTAAACTGCTAGAAAATGATTTAACACTGGAGGGACAGTGCCAGGTGACTCCAGGCACTATAACCAATTAAATGAGATGAAATGAAATGGTTATAGTGTCTGCTATGTCCTACACGTGCTGTTTGTAGTTCCTATCAAGTTATCTATATAAATAGATATCTATATTTGTATAAACGTTCTTGGAATAGCTAAACTACTTATTGCTCGTAGCCTGTGTATACCTCTTTCTCAAGGGTTTATGGTATATGCGTAGTGCAAACAGTGGAAGAACCAGGTTTATTTTAGATGTCACCTTTTATTTCTAGTTTATTCTTGATTTTAATGTTTTATCTCTACGGTGTGGGTCACATTAAAGTCTCATCATTAAACGTTTTGGCGTAAAAAGGAATAAAGGAACATATACTGTCCAACACCGCATGTTTACAAACAGTCCCTTCCACTATTAGAGTATAGACTACAAGTCATTTCTTTGCAATCTGCTCTTGGGAGTCAAGGACCATTACACTAAAATCCGGTGACCGTAGCACAGCTCTAACTAGGTAGTCTATCATTCTACACTTTGATCTAGACATTGTACAAACGGATCATTTTGTGGCTGCGTCAGTTAGTTAGATACAGGGCAGCGTTAATTTTTTAGTTTTTCTCTTTTTACCCCCGTCTCATTTTTGTACCTTCTTTTATAATGTTTCCTTCCATTATGCGTGGATAGATAATCCAGCTGGTTTAGAGTACAATTGCCATGATGATCACCTCTTATGGCTGAGCATTATTGCCCTAACAGCCCACGGCAGCCAGAATGGATAAGCATCTCCGTTCTCTGTTCTGACCTGGATGTTTCTGTAGATGGCCTAGTACGTAAAGCCGATTTGTATGTTGTCTCACATATGTAAACGTAGCTTGTTTAGAAATCCAAAACACTTGTAAAATGTCATCATGTTTTACCATCATACTGCTCATCTGCTAAAGTAAAACAACTGCGTTAAATAAGAGGCAAAAATACCCAGTGCTGCCTTGTTTAATGGGACACCAGCAGCACCCCATTCCATCAAGAAATATACTATCTGAGATTTCAAAAAGGAGTAATCCTTAATTTTTAAATAAAGGCCAAGAAATGTATAGAAATATTGCCATCTTATCTGAGGGTTTTCAAGTTGCAGGAACAAAGAGTGTGTCAGTTTTCAGATGCAGGGATGCAGGAACACCACAATGTTAGAAGCAGTGGAGATGCATTATGGATACAAATAGGGATGTTATATGCAATTAGTCTTGCATAGATTGCATCGTCTTCATTTTTTACCTGCTAGCATTATGTATTTTGTCATGATGCAGAAAGATGTAAACAATAAATGTTACTCCTGATCTGAGATTAGGGGCAAGTCAGAAAGCATGAATGACAAGCTCTGATGACCAGACATAGTTAGAAGCCTCTCGCACAGTTCTTAATTCTAGCTAAATGAGTAGAGAACCGTTTGCTAATTGGCATGTATGTGTACATATGTGAGTGTGTACCGGCACCTAGATATTGATCAGAGAAAATCCATATCAGGGTATAAAGACAATATTTAAAAAAAATTTAAAAAAAACAATCACAAGAAATACTTGCTCCATGGGGACCACCATTTTTGTTCATAAGAACCATTTACATTCCAAGACCATGCACAAATGGAATAACTGAAACTGGTCAAAAGCAGATTTCATAGATGCCTGGCACTTTCACAAAATGCCAGGATATATAAATGCAAAGTGAATATGCATGGTTTTGTGTTGTATGGTTTTATGTTGAATATGTAGTGGTTCTGACCAAAGAGAACTTGAAGATGGCTGCTTCATGGAGAAAGATTAAGCTGGGATAGGAAATGAAAACTTATATTTACTTTAAAAATTAAACACAAGGGTTCTAGAAGGCATGTAATCGTTTTATTATTATTATTATTATTATTATTATGTGTGTATGTGTGTGTATATATATATCTATCACTGGCAGATTGAAGCTTGTCACATGAGTTGAGGGAACATTGTCATAAAGCTGATATAATGGCAACAATACAACAACAATAAATCATATGTTCATAAATGTAAATAGTACTAGTGCTACTTAATTACATTAAAAATATGTTATTCGAACAAGAAGGAAGAAAGTGTTCTAATAATAATTGCATTACTCAAGGTTAACATCCATCACAGTTACAGGACCCAAATAACAGTCTCTTGGCAGGCTTCTCCATATGTCATACAATCTTTCCCTTGTGTGTAAGTGGTATAGAAAGGATGGGGTAACTTTTTGGGTTGATATTGCAAAAGAACACCAATGGACCAGGAGATAGAGCATTCCATTACATAATGCACTTCAATGATTTACTTGTTTTCTAATTAGCTAACATGGACCCTCTGTTTTTTTTCCCCAGGAGGACAGCGGTTAGTTTTGTCGCCTACTGTTGCTCAACCCAGTGTTTGCAGACATTTGACCTGCTAAGCTGATAAATCTTTCCTTGCCTCTCCCTTGGTTGACCTGCCAGTTTTAAACTACCAGGGGTAATCAACTTCTAATTTGCAGCTTCTGTGGACTGTAACTCCTTTGACATCCATCCAGCCTTTTATAGTCTTTGTGAACATCATCGTGGGAGTTGAGGACCATGCAAGCTGGAGTGCCTATAATAGCCTGTGTCTGGGATTGTTCTATCCATTCAGAACACCACCCAGCAAACCCAGTAGTGACATTAACTGATTTGCCAGTCCCTGAAAATTACCACGTCACAGTGTAGGACATCTTCTAAATTGGTCATCTTCTTTTCAGTCAGTTTATGATTTGCTTTCTTTACAACATGAATTGCTGTAAACATCCCTTAACTTCTTGTGTGATAATGTATTAATCAAAAATATCAGTGAAAACTGGAAATACTGTTAAAACATGGGTTTCTAAGCATGCGCTTGATTTGTGTAATAGTTTAATATGGTGTGCCAGCCCTGAAAGAGGATAATGTTAGACCATTTTTATTATTATTATTTTATAAATTTCAAAACTATCAACAAATCCTGTAGCATTATGCAGTAACCAGATACATTTTGGAATAAAAAGTGGGAAGTACATTTTTGAAACATCATTATTACACCGCTTATCCAGGTAACCAACTCTGGGCCAAAATGCAGTGGTACTGCTCCAGCTAGTATTTTGACTAAACCTCTTGTATGTTTATGTTTGTAGCCAAAGAGGCATGAGGAATTATAATTCTTTAACATCAACCCTCATTTGTTATAACCTCTTCTATAAATGGGGTCACTCAAATATTCCCAAATTAATAGTTTTGCAATCTCAGCTGGATTTTCTTCTCATTTCCTCCTTGGTTTCTTGTTTTCTTCAAATTTACTGCACATATTTGTGAGTATTTCAAGGCAGAGATTTAAAAAGTTGAAATATAGAGGGTTTCAGAGTTAAAAAATAGAGCAAAAGGTGATCCACTTGAATATTTTATGTAGCTCGTGTTGAGACAGTTCGGTAAAGACAATGCTGTTATGAAAAAAAGTTGTCAGCAAGACAAAATTATCTGGATAGAATGGATCAAAGACGCAGTACGTTCAATTAAAGGGATACTAAAGGGAAATAGTCACCAGAACAACTACAGTTTAATGTAGTTGTGCTGGTGGTTATAGCCTGTCTCTACATGCATTTTAATGTAAATGCTGCCTTCTCAAAGAAAAGGCAGTGTTTACGTTACTGCCTAGGGACACTAGTGGCTGTCATTCAGATTTAATGCCTCTCTACGACGAGATGCTGATTGGCACAACACAGCGTTTTGCCGCACATCCCCATTAGCCTCCCAATGCTTTCCTAATCAGAATTGATGATCTCAGCCAAAGAGGCGGAACCAGAAGCAACTAGATCCGCACAGCGGTGGAAAAAGGTAAGTAAATCACCTTTTTCACCAGGGACTAAAATGTTTTTTACACCAACAGTGTCAGGAATACACGTTTGAATTTCTGACACTACAGTGTTCCTGTAAGAATTTTGAAGAATCTGTCTATTCCATTCTAAACTCTATTGAGGCAATCTACCAGTGTTCTGGTACATTCTGATGAATAATGATTAAAAAAAAAAAAATTATTTAAAAGCAGTGCATTTCCATACAAGTGATCACTGCATAAGCAAATCTTACAAAAAGTCACACATTGGCAGCACCTGTTCTGTCCGCTTCCACATGTATCACAGGAGTGATAGCCAAGTATCTGATCACTCTGACCTTCTGTTACCTCAAAACCACTGCTAGCTACAAGCACTTGTTAGTTCAGAAACACTCCAAACACATAAATAGCTTGCTGAAGTGCATTATGTTTGTGAGGGAGTGATTTTTCTTTGAGTTTATTAAAGCTGTCACTTTTATAAATTAACCTTGTTACACCCGTTTGCTGTCAGACAGCCAGTCATGTTACTTCCTGGTAGTTTAGATCAGTGGAACTAAACCCAAGATGCAAGCTATTGCCCAGAACACCTGCCTTGCAAAGACTTCCCAAAGAGCTGTAATACAACAAGGGGTTGCTTGCAGTAGTTGCAGATACTAACTCTGCAGCTATTGCAAGCCCAGATTGCATACACCACCAAATAAGACAAGCAAAAGCCAATACCTTCACATTTTCTGGTGGTATATCTACTAGTCATTATTTTTGTATTTCTTTAACCAATACAAAATCGTATTGTAAGAACCACAAGGGGGAACAGCACAAAATCTTATTCAACTCGTAAGTAAAATACATATGGGTCTGCCCTTAACTTGCTAAAAACCACTCACTTATTCAATATGTGTAGAACCAATAGGGAAAAACAGGAAAAAAATAATGTACCTTCATATTCTACCTGCCTGGAGATACTTTTCTAAATACATACCAACACCACAGACACAGCCCTCAAATAATACACCTTCATATTTTCCTCTGTAACCCTTTCCAAAGCTCACCAACTATGAATTAGAAGAAAAACATTTTATGTCACACTGGAACTTTGATCATACACACTATGCAATCATCAGCTAACACATTTGTTTTACATACAAGCTGACTGATAGGTGTATGATCAAAGTTCCAGATATGCAAGATGTTCTATCAGTGCAAGGAATGATGGAACACTTGCCATGGTGGGACGTGATATGCCAGATGTACCCGTGACTCCTCCAGAACCTGAAAGTGCAGCTGTTCCTGCCTGATTCATGCCATTGGCAAAGAGAAGACCGAATGTAACTCAAGTCACCCTTATTGTTGTTCCCGAGGAGGAACTGAGACATTAGTACTATGAACCATAAATGACTTGCATACATACGTGCTGTGGCATCTGTATAATTCCAGTCATCCAAGAGTACTGTGTCAAGTCATGTAATTTTCTCTGGTATCCTGAATAACTTACTAACAACAACATGCCAAAGAATCATCCATTTTCCCTATATCTCTGTGAACATAGGTTTTTTTTTTCCGGGAACTGGGATGCAATAGAAATGCACAAACACATGTATACCATTTTACAAACGTATATATTATTATATATAGTGCCAACAAATACCGCAGCGCTGTACAATATACTTGATCATGTACAGGAAAATGTGCATTGAATCCTCACCCTTTGTAGTCTTTATTACCAGGTAAGACACATGGCCCATGTATTCATATGATTTTCATATGCTCTGTTTATGTGATTCTACCTTTTGTGAATTTTGTAGCAGAGTCTCTAAATTACTCCAAATTGTGTTCACTAGATTAGCTGCTACAAATTTAAACTTTTATTACAAATAAAGACTGACAAATATAAACCACTGGGACTACCAGTGATGTGATGCGTGTCAGCAATAAAAAGGTGTAGAAAAAATTGGTGTAAATTGGGGTTCCGCTGCATTTTGCCACATCCAAGATGGCCGCCACTACCTGGTGTTCCTGGAAGGTCGGAAACCACAGAGATCGCGGGAGCGCGATCTTAAGCCCGCCCTGCCATCAGCCAGCCACTTAGACTTAGCTCGTCCGTTAGAGTGCCTGCCCAGCCATCAGCCAGCCCTGTCGTCAGCCATTTTCTATCACTCGTGGTAGAGGAGTGATAGAGAGTGGAGTTGATAGTTAAAGCTCTGTTATTGTCATAGATAGAAAGCTCTGTTAGGTAGGGACATAGAAAGCTCTATTAGGTAGGGACATTAAAAGGCTCTGTCAGGGGCATTGAAATACTCTTTGAGGTGCATTAAAAGACTGTCGAGGGCATTGAAATTCTCTGCTAGGGACGTTAAAAGGCTCTGTCAGGGGCATTGAAATTCTCTGTTAGGGGCATTAAAGGGCTATGTAAGGGACATTAAAAGGATCTGTCAGGGGCATTGAAACGCTCTGCTAGGGACATTAAAGGGCTATGTAAGGGACATTAAAATGCTCTGTTAGGGGCATTGAATGACTGTGAGGGGCAAAAAAATGTTAACTGTATTTTTGAAAGTGTTCAAATCTTTTTGATCCAAGTCTAACTCAAAAATCCTGCTTAAGTTCAGTTCTTTCTAAGAATGTTATCAAAATCAGCATCCTTTTCAGTCAGGTTGCGAGATCATTTTTTAAGTGTTTTTTTGTTTGTTTTGTTTTTTTACCAATAAATAACATGAATTTGGAAAGTTGGTTAAAGCAGAGAGAAATGATTACTACTTCTACCTGTTCGGCACTTATAGAAACTGAGAAAGAATATACAACTAAAAATCCAGAAAACTTGCCTGAAATAGTTGTATCTACTGTTCCTCAAAAAGTAGAGACAAGTGACAAGTCAAAAGAAAATAAAAGCACACAATGCTAGCCAATCTTCTCAAAGAAAGAAAATAAAATATGATGATAGCTACTTGTCATTTGGATTCGCAAGTGCCAGAAATGAAGATTGTTCTGAAGCACAATGCGTATCTTTGCAATAAAATATTGCCAAACAGTTGATTAGCACCTGCTAAATTACGTAGTCATTTTGAACAAAACCACGCAGAGTACAAAGATAAAGATATTGACTTTTTTAAGCGAAAGCTAAAGGAGTATCAGAAGAGTAAACAATTTATGAGCAAAACATTTCAAAATGCTAATGCAAAAGCCAGAGACTTTTTACAGAGTGAGTTACCGCATAGCACATGCAGGAGAATCCCACACAATTGGGGAATCACTAATAAAACGATGTGCAAATAAAATAGTGTCATGTATTTTAAATGAAAAGTTGAGTAAAAAAATTGAAGCTGTGCCACTTTCCAACAACACAGTTTTGCGCCGTATTCATGATCTTGCTGATGACATCCATACTGAGCTAATTTCTCAACTGCATCAATGTGATGGGTACTCACTGCAATTAGACGAGTCCATAGATGTTGCAGGACTTTAACCCCTTAAGGACGGAGCCAAATGTACACATTGTGAACAAAACAAAATGTAAACAAAACCTGGCATTTGCGCTACATGTCTGTCCAACCGTAATTCACCTCTTTCATAGTAAATGCACCCACCCTTATTATATATCATTTTATTCAGGGGAAACAGGGCTTTCATTTAATATCAAATATTTAGCTATGAAACATAATTTAATATGAAAAAAATGGGAGAAAATACGATTTTTTAAAATTTTTTTAGTTCTACATGACATTTTAAAGGTCAATGTCATAATACTGTTTGCTTTTACTGCAATAAAATACACATATTTGTATTCAGCAAAGTCTCACGTGTAAAACAGTACCCCCTATGTACAGGTTTTATGGCGTTTTGGGAAGTTACAGGGTCAAATATAGCACGTTACATTTGAAATTGAAATTCGCCAGATTGGTTACGTTGCCTTTGAGACTGTATAGTAGCCCGGGAATGAAATTTACACCCATAATGGCATACCATTTGCAATAGTAGACAACCCAAGGTATTGCAAATGGGGTATGTCAGTCTTTTTTAGTAGCCATTTGGTCACAAACACTGGCAAAGTTAGCGTTAGTATTTGTTTGTGTGAAAAATGCAAAAAGCGCCAATTTTTGGCCCAGTGTTTGTGACTAAGTGGCTACTAAAAAGGCTTTAGTTTATATTTAATACAGCAAAGGGTTACGTGCTACTAACCACCAAATATTATACCTCATAAAGTATTTCATTCTTAAGGCTTCATAGAATCTCAAAGGCAAGCGTAACCAATCACAAGCGGGTACAATACGAAAAAGCGAAGCGCCAAGCCTTATATTTGACGCTGTAACTTTTGAAAACACCATAAAACCTGTACATGAGGGATACTGTTGTACTCGGGAGACTTCGCTGAACACAAATATTTGTGTTTCAAAACAGTAAAACGTATCGCAGGAATAATATCGTCCGTGTAAGTGCTGTTTGTGCGTGAAAATGCAAAAAACTTCACTTTTACTGGCGATATCATCGTTGTAATACATTTTACTGTTTTGAAACACTAATATTTGTGTTCAGCGAAGTCTCCCGAGTAGAACAGTACCCTCCATGTACAGGTTTTATGGTGTCTTGGAAAGTTATAGGGTTAAATATAGTGCTAGCAAATTAAATTCCCTTTACTTTCGACATGGGTTGTCAGGCAGGTCCTGCTAATTGTAATTAATTAAGATACCTAATTATGTAAAAATATT